ACCGTAGAAGCAGCAGCACCTTTACGACCTTGGGTAGCAAGCTTGATAGAATTGCCCTGGTCAACCTTGACCTCCTTTTTAGTATGTATCTTGAACTTGACCTGGACGGTCATCTCGTTTCTTCAATCAAATTGAACCCACGGAGCCGTTCCAACTTGGTGAAGTGGATTTTGAAGAGCACAGGTACCTGGAGCATTGTCACCTGTTGGGTAGAAGGTCTTCAAATACTGGCAGATAGGTACATCAGTTCTAAGAGCATCCGCAATCGTTGGGTTAACTAGCGGGAATAGCTAAGTATTTAACTTACCGATCTCGAAATTTCCACAACGGTCGAATTTTAACAAATCTTTTGTTAACTTTGCGACAAAAAATCGGTAGGCTGGGACAAAGTTATCCCAGCCTACCGACGCGTTAGCTAACTCTGAGTAGCTTCAAGTCCCAACCAGTCCCAACCTCACACCAAATCACAACTACACTTGATCGATCATCCCTCGTCACCCTCCTCAATACAAATACCCAAATTCAACCTCGATTTCCATCCACTCCATTCCCATTCATGATCAACATCATTTTGATCATCTTCTTTGACTACCTCTGAATTTGACTTTCACAAATCTGGATAATACTACTTACTTCAATCTACCTTTCATCACAATTCTTCTTGGTTAATCAATCATTTCTTCTAGCAGTGATGTATGTATATTATTAATCTTTCGGTGTTGATGTCAGTCTATACAAATGAATTTGTAGATATGTTAAGCAAAGAAGGGAAAGCAAGAGCTTGAATCTGTGTTGATCGATCATCGATCATACAAGTTGAGCACAGGAACGATTCAAAAAATGGACCTTTAATAATAAGGAACAAAGTGATCACATGATGAAGTTGATGTTGTTGAGCATATGAGGGATGAAAACCCACAAATCTGTGTTTAGCTCCAAGCTAGAGCTGACGACTGTAGGCCCAGTCTTTAACTTGGAGTTTAGACTTCTTTAACTCCAAGTTATAGACAACGACTGTGTGATTTCGGGTTGAATTACTTAACTCGGGCTAAAGATCTTTAACTTTAGCTCCGTTAACTCCAAATTTAACGCCAACGATTGCGGATGCTCTAAAAGGAAAGATTTTGTAATTGGAGAAATGGGCTTACATGAATTCATGTGACCTTCAACAGCAGGGACTCCTTTGATATCAGAGGCTATTTCGATGGATGTGTGGCGTTTAGACATGTTAGGATTTATGTTTGGTTTATTGCCAAGCTGATAATATATAGATAAGCTAATAATCAGAACAAGACAAAAGCCCAAAACCAGAGGAAAAAAGCGACAAACTAATAACAAGACAGAGGAACAGAGGCACGGGTCAAAATAAGGCTGATTGTGGATTAATAACTTCAAAACCTGGGAATTCATAAAGGACGGTGTGGTGAGCAAGATCTCTACTTAAGCAAAAAAATTAAAAATTATGTGAAAATTCGAGTTTTTGGTCAAAGGCAATATTATTATTGAAGTTATTAGTCATCAAGGTTATCAAAGTTGATTCATTATCTTCATTTCATTATCTTTCAAATCATATATTTACATAAGCAATTGATAAGAACATTTAAGAGTAAAGAAGAATTCGAAAAGATCAATAAAAATAGTATAAGAGTGAAAATCAAATTAAGAGAATTAGTAAGAAGAGATTTGAGGAAGAAGAACATTTAGTTTGGATCTTTAGGAATGGAAACTGTTATGAAAAGAATGAAAGAAGAAGAAGAATATTAAGAAAGTTGGAGAAAAATTCGAAAATATGGGTATGAAAGCTTGGAAAGTGGTTTTTAGCTTATTATTAGAAGAGATATTGGTTCAGGAAGGTTTTATTGTGAAAGAGAAGGATAACATTAGTCAGCAACAACTTTAATCATGAGGATTGATAATGGAGGTGTGAAGTTATTCAAGAAAAGGGAAATTTTGAAGAAGGGTACTATGGTATTGATTCCTGTGTAGTGATGTCATTGATGGATTGATTGCGCCAAGAGTTTTTCAGAATGATTTTAATGCTGTGTGATTGATTGGAGTGCTGTGGAATGATCTTTTGATAGAAGGAAAATCATTATTAGACGTGAAAATAGTCAAAATTCATCAAAATTGGAGGTTTTCAGTTAATTACATATGGTAAAACTTGTCAGAATTAGGTGTGTGATAGTTCATTCGACGCAGAATCATTGGTTTCATGATGTACACCCTTTAAATCATTAGTAGCGGAGGAGTAGTGAAAAAGTTATAAGGCAACAAAGGAACTGGAGTGAATTTCGAATTTGGAGGTTACATGTGACATTTACGTGACAAAACTTTATTTTTGCAATCTTTACAACTCAATACCTTATTCATCACACATCAGAAATAGGTGATATGGGGGTGATAAATGATCAGAATCACGAGGGCTATCAAATGAGCTATAGTAATCCAAAATTGAACAACTTTACAAAAAATTTGTAATTCCAAAAATGGATTTCAGCTATGAATATTAGGAAAAAATCACCTGTATTCATCATAAGAAGATCTGTTCATCATTTATTCACATCAATTGATCAAATTCACACCTTAAATCATTACAAACAATAATAATAATGACATCATATGATTACATTGGAGGAAATTCTGTTGATTTTGACGGTTTTTGAGGTTTTTTGGAGGTTGTTGATCATTGTTGAAGGGTGTTGTCAGCCCTGAGTACATATACATGTACCCAAAACTAACCTGTAACAGTAAAAAACATATGTATAAGATTAACTACATGTTACATACTGAGCATATACTGTATGTAACATGTAATACAATGTATTAAAACCTTTATTACATATATATGGACCTGTAAAACAACATGTAATATGTAACAAAACACCAATTACACCTCATAACTCAGTGTCAAGAGTTAAATGCTTATATTACATACCACACACAAGGTGTATATGTAATTAAGCATTACTAGTAACAATCAGTACTACATGTCAATAACTAAACCTGAACCAATGTAGTGATAATAACAAATATCACTACAGTTAGGTTTGGAGAGGAGAGTATATAAACCCTCCTCTCTCAGCCTTCAGAGAATCCCCCAAGCAATCATTACCCACTACTTTTAAAGAACAATTAAAGTTCACTGAAGTAAAAAATCAAGAGTCTTATACAAATAAGACTAGTGATAAGCTTCATCAACTTTAATCATCTTCCTGATTAAAAGTAGGTAATACAATTCTTCATTCCCCTCTGGATCCTCTACTTCCCCTAAGTAGAAACCCAATCAAGGCTAGTGACCTCCAACAACTCCAGGCTAGTGACCTTAAGAAGAACTTCAGGCTGGTGACCTTAAGAATAACCCCAAGTTGGTGACTTTAAGGACAACCAGATTGGTGAACTAACTCACTCTTTGATCTGTTACAATAAAGATTAAAGGAAGGTCCAGGATCCAACCTTCATATATTATAATAAACATCATATTATAATTACTGAATCTCCTTTTTAGGAGTCAATTAACTGAAGTCTGTCTGGATTTGTCCAAACAGACTGTCAGTCCCTTTCTTCTCTTTAATTTTCCTTCTTTACTTCAATTTGTAACTACTACATATTTGAAATAAAGAAGTTAAATTTAAATAAACCTACTATTCTACCCTTCAGTGAGCACTGAGTACTCCTACAAAGAGCACCCATCCCTCACATTTGGGGGCCTCATTGTGTTGAAACCCAATTCAAACCTCAACTTTTTACCAAAGTGAGATTTCATACCTCTAGACAAACAGTGTAAGAACCATCAAAATTAAAATCAAGTGTAACTAACCACCAATCACACTACTCAACTCATAAAAAACCACACCTTGATACAAAGTATAAAGTACTACATATCAAAGCAAAAATAAATTGAGCATTGTGATTTAATCATCAATCACCTCACTCAATAACAACACCATATCACTTTAAATCTTAGAAACATAACAACCCTCTAAAAATAACATTTTTTTTTCAGTCTAGAAGATTTCAAGCAATTGTAGTTATTTTATTACATAACCTTGAGTGACAAACTGAAGAAAAGTATTACGAGTAATTCTCGAAAAACTAAAAAGCCCTGAGATAACACTACAGAAACGACGAGTTGGGTACGGTAGTTACACATACATATAACAAATTTGAGATACCCCATCGGAATATCATATACAAGTAGATCGAACAAAGGAATCAAATCGTACCAAGACCAAGAAACGGAAAGAACAATCCTTTTCACGATATCTTATTGGACGAAGCGAAAACAATTAGATTCAAAGGAAGAATACGAAAGGATCTCAACTCAAAATCAAGAAATCGAATTCCGTTGTTCCGATCGGGTAAGCCACACCAAATAAAATCGAGAATATAAGAGTAAGCACTTACAGTTATTAACAGCAGCCACAATTCTTGATTACCTTCTTGTTTGTTCTTAGCAAGACCTCACTCTTACTATTAGTTTTTTTCTTTCTTTTCTGTCACAAATCCTCAGAAGATTCCATTAGTACAGCAATAATCAGTAACCGAATCTCTCATATGAGTCGAAAGGATTGTTCTACTCCAACTTACCGCCGCAGAAAGAACAATACGAAATCCGTTTATTACGCAACCACATCGGCGAACACGATCAGCAGCGAAAGAGTAAGTAATTAAACCAGCTAATAAATCTCTAATAAAAAAAAAGTAACGCACGACACTGACATCATACATCCAGTGTCTTTGATACGATCCCACATCGGAAATTATTCCGATCCACGACATACCTGGTATAAGAAGATCTACCCTTTCGATAGCGATCAATCCTTAGACAAGATTCTTCC